TCATTTCAACATGTTGACTCTCTACACAATATATTTTTATGATTATACTATTGGAATAGAAAACGCAGAATACCAACTCTCAATAAATAAAATAATAAACCAAAATTCTTGGAATATAACATGATGTTACGATTATTTTGTAAACTTTATTCACTACAAAAGAGTAAATTTAAATTTATAATTTTTTGATGCAAAATATTAAATTTAAGCTTCAATTTTGTAACTTGTATGAGAATACCAAACTACTAAAATAGCATAAATTTATGTCAATATTTGAAATTTATTCTGTAATATGTGTGGTAAGTACTGAAATTATGCCAAGAAAAATTTTTGTTATCACAGATTTAAATTCTTGCTAAAAATTTACTTATGTCATATTTCCCAAAACCTTTTTCAAGTTCCATGAAATTATCTATAAATTACAGACTTTACTATTGAATAAAAAAAAATATTTATTTTACTACTGGGTGCTATTTTTTACCGAAAAAAGATTTTTGGCTTTTTTGCATGATACTACGCAGTATACGAATTTTCATTGTTATACTGAATATCGATTGATAACATACTTGACTTGTAGATTACATAAATTAACAATCTGTTTCGATATCACGTCTGGGACACATGAATTCATAATAAGCGTTCGTGACGAAGGATTTTTTTCACAACCATCATCAAATAAGTTGTTTTTCAATTGATTAGAAGCAAAACCTATATTATTTTGCTGTCATTCGAATGATTTTTTTATTAAGTTGATAAAGAAAAGATGATTAAAAAATTCTATCTACGAATAAAAACATTTTATTAAATTTTATGAGAATAAATTTTTTTTACGTTAATTATTCGAGTCACAATTAAAATTGAAATTATTGCCTGTAATATTACTAAAAATTTTACTACATAATATATCTTTACATTACTTGTGAATTTAATTATCTAGCAGATATATTGGAAAATTAATATGTACTTGGTATGAAATATGACAATTACTGAGTTTAAAAGTTGAGTTTAAATTAGAAGAAAACATTTAAAGGAAAAATTATGAACTTCTTAATTTCGAGTGTCACTTGCAAGTGACACGGTTTTATAATTTTCTATGCACGAGTACTGCTGTAATATTTATTAATGCATGAAAAAAATTTTTCAATAAAGCTTAATTCAAAATCGAAGTCAATCCCTGGATATTCTTATTTTTCAACTCATTTCGATAAAGCCTCTTATAATACATTTTTTTTTTTCAAAACAAGAGTTAAATTTTAGAGTGATTAAAAAATATAATCCTTTTAGAAACTTTTTGATCAATTATTATAATTTTTATTATTGAGTTTGATTTGAAATATTAAAACTTCTAACTGAATTTAAAGGCAAAACTGATCTAGTTAAGTCTTGACTTCAACTACTATTGTTAGTTCACATGAAAATTATTCGTATCAAGTTTCATAAAATGATAAAGTCGAATCTGGTGATAAAAACATGGCATTTGCAACTTTACACACGATAGTAAATATATCTAATGAAAAGTTAATTTAAAATCACGCAGATATTGACACAGTAAAAAAAGTCACCACATATATAGTGAAAGTAATTTTTTCACTCAATCAAATGTGAGAAATTAAATTTGTCATTTGTCTTTTAATTTCTTTTGTTCATTTACTGATGTTTATTTCGAGATGTTAAATTGTCAGAATTGTAGTCCTTTGATGTTAGATGAGCTTTTGAAACCTAGAAACTCTAATTAATCCGTAATTTTATGTACGCTGTAAATTACTTTCCATTCACGTGTAGTTGCTGGAAAAATTCATGTTACTTGATAAAACACTTATTTATTCAAATTAAATTTCAATTAGAGATTGCTATTACTTTTAATTATTGTTTAATGCAGCAAACAAATTATTTGAAAAATATTTTTTATGTAATTAACAAAGAAAAAATTTATTCTTTTATTGCACTGAATAGGATATGTTAATTTTCTTGCGTGGAAATAGTGAAAAGAAAAATAAAGTTTTTTTTAAAAATAAACTTACAACTAAACTAAATATGTCTATTTGAGATCAGGCAACTATGTCATGTCCTCAAGTTATCTAAGTTTTTCAATAATATTTTAATCGAAAAAAATAGTCTTAATTTTTTTTCTTTCTACTGAGAAAAAAAAATACGGAAAAATCTACTCTTTAGACGCAACAAAATCGATCGATTTGATTAGTCCGAGGTATTATATTTATTCCATCATAAATGCTTTTTATCACGAAGTTGTACTTATTCACCCCAATGAGAAACAATGTATGATTTGAGATAGATGCACGAGTGGTGAAACATTTTTCAATTTCAAGACAGTAGTAATATTATTTATGATTCAATGAGATGTTATCTTACTAATCGTTCATGTGAAAATCGAAAATATTAAGCATTTAATTTTTTTCTACAAATATCTCTTATTTTTTTCTACACGAAAGAACCTAAAAAGCAACAATTATTGAAAAAATAATTAATTACTAAAAATGAATGAAAAATATTGTCAAATATTCCCTGAAAATTCATTACTTGAAATTAATGGTGGAAAAAATTTATACCTCATTACTCACAATTACATCAATGATATTTTTATCAGATAACTGGTACATTTACTTTAACGTTTTTTTCATCTTGTATTTCCTTAAAAACATTAAGTAGCATTAAGTGCATGGATCATTTGTGTATTGTCACGAAATTAATCTCTAATTACACTAGACTGATTTTATAAATTTTTTTCAGCTTTAAAATTACAAAGTTATTATTTGTATCTTAGAAATGATTATAAATTCCCAACATCACACTTAAAAAAGAAAAGTTAGTTGCCGCGTAATAGATGTAATAACTAGAAATCTCAAAATCACGATAGAATGTTCAACGAAACCAATATACGTTGTAAAAAGTACATCAAGAAAAATGTCTTAGTCATGCCATTTAGCATTAAACTTTACAACAACATATTACGTACAAATTACTTCAATTGTTTCGATAGCATAACTAGAACAATAAAAGAGCTTTTTTTCTCATGACTACAAACACGCATTTAAACTCTGTTCCGCTCGTTATCCAAAAAAAGAAGCTTTTCCTGTCCAACAAACAATTAATCTTTCTAAACTAAAAACAGACAATTTGTAACCGTGAGTTAGAAAACAGCATTAATGTTTAATTTTCCAAATAATTAAACTATATTTAATGCTAAATATTCATTTATTAATATCAATGTAGATCTGTGTGATTCTCGTATAATTTTAAAAAATATTTACGTTAATAAAAATAAACCTCTCATATATTGTTGAATATTATCCACAAGATTTGTTATACAGATTCCAAGACCATCAAAATCATTTTGAAACTCCTATGAACAGAATTTCATTCACCCTTACTTAATAATAATACTAATTTTAATAATAAAATTATAACAGTCATAAATAATGATAATAATTCTTACAGATAGATCAATATGAACGGTATAAATTGGATGAGGCAGGGCAATACAAACAGCGAAAAACCACGAACCCAAGGAACAAACAAATGCTGGTATTCTTGGCTTTCCAGGATCACTTAGAACTCGATATCGATCGCCAGCGATAAGCAAATAAGTCATCATGGACACATGGAAAGGAACGTCCTGCAAAAAAAATTGAAATATTTAGTTTTTATGGAAATGACTTTTGTCAAAGTAGTAAGTCCGATTTATAGTCAGACGTTAATGGTCCACGATTTGCCCGATTCTGTTAAAATGAAGGCACTAAAGTATTTAATCCTAGATTAACTACAGATAATGTTGATATCTTAAATCTGATAAAAATCACTCGCTTTTTTAAATTAATAATAGCATTTCTTTAATGTTATTTAAACCAGGATAATCTGTTCATTTACTGTTTTTGTGAGGTATTTATTTAATTCCGTTATGTAACATAAAAAAAAATTGCTCTTCATTAAGTTCTCTTTGTTTTGTATTTTATACTTTGAAAATTAAATTGAATTCCGTGGACTCAATTAAAGAGTTGCAGAGAGTTTAAATATGGAAAAACATAATATCATACTTTTCAAGATAATTAGAAATAGCAATATGTTTGATATTAGTGTACACACTTTCTCATGACAAAGAAAAATTGTTCATTCATATTTAAACAGAAATGATGAAGAAAAAAAAAATGATGTAGATGTTCTTGTAGTTTTTTTTAAAAACTATTAATAGAGAATAATGTTTGCAAGCATAAATATTGTATACGAAAATGTGGAAGATAGTGCGAATACATTAAACTTTTTGTTTGTATCAACTTTGCATAAATACTTCGTTTAACTACATTTTTATCAAGAGACATCCATTGTATCGTTTTGGCAAAGTCGCTAGAAATTTTCGATGCAATTTATAATAATAGTATTATCAACAAAATTCTATAGCATTCAATGTAAAGGCATATATCATATTACACAGAATAATGCGAAGTTTGTAGATAAAAATATCCAGAATATTATTTAACATCATTATGAATATATTTTAAAATGGCTAATTTTTAATGTGTATTTTATAAATTGGTAAAGTAGAATATTATATATTAACAACATTGAACAACGAAAAGAAAAAATTATTACCAAGTTAGAAAGCTTTTAATGAATTATGAAAATGTGAATATTGATTTAATTACAAACTTAAGTTTTTCAAGTAATTAATAAGTTTTGAAATACTTTAGAATTTATATACTTTAGCATTTATATCAAAAAAAGAGTTTTTAAAATTAGAAAAAAACACATTTAAAAATATTAATAAAGATTGTGATTTTTGTAACAAAGATTTATATTATTTATTTATAGTTTATCTAAAAATAGGTTTTAAAAAGGCAAAATTGACAAAAGTATTTTGTAATGAATTTTCATGAGAATTATGGGCTAATTGAACTTGACCATGTGAGACCAACTTATTTAGTTGTAGCGTAAAATTACGTTCGCAACGGGACACCTATTTCTTTGAAGAAAATGTTTATAAACTGAAACTACCTTGATGACTATTTGTGGCGCCTCTTAGACGCCGATGTGCACGCGGTCGAGGAAAAAAATGCCCTTGGAGAATTGGAAAATCGACAAGTAAATTCTATTATTTTGTCAAGTTGATTATTTGCCCTGAGCTTTTTTTATTAGTTTTATTTTCATTTATCGACCTCAAGGTTTTCTATATGTTTTTTAAAATAATTGCCCTATTTTCAAGTTTTACATTAGGTATTAAGTTTTATGATGTACAAAATTATTATTTTAATATTAAACAAATCTAAATCAAATAGAGAATATCTGAATAAAAGTAAAAGTTTTTAATTAGATCCTAAAGTCACGCCAAGTCAATAGTTAATTTAGTGCTGCATTGAGAATAACTCTAAATTGGGGATGAATATGTCTTGATAATAAAGATTATTAACATCCATCAACCGGAAGCATTAGCTGCCATGAGTACATCCGAAAACTTGAAACAAATATGATCATCCGCTTGACAACAATACCATGATCCATTCAGTAGCCTTTGTTCCGCTCAAACAAACGAAAATTTGATATTTCATAAAAAAGTTTCCACTTCCTCTATTCTATTTCATTATTATACTGAGTAAAGAACTTGATAATGAAAATATTGTATTTACATTTCATTATTAATTAATTTTAAGAATAAATGAATGTAAAATTTCAATATACTAGAGTAGAGGCCTTAAATAAAGGTCTTAAATAAATAGGCTTCTTTAAAAGCTTCCGTGTTATGGTACTTCATTAAACATTGAATGACAAGATACCGTATAGAATGTGTTGATTCAAGTGATTTTTTTTTGCTTTGTATTCTCAACTTCTTCTACTCAATTGCTTTTTATATACCCTTGCTTTCAGATTTTTGCATTTATTTGCTTCCTCAGTTGTTACAACAACTCTTTGGGTTCTTGAGAATGGACTTTATCACTACACAATAAATTACAAAAGCTTAACGTAAAAAATTAAAAGCCAAGAGAAAAATTTTATTTTGATTAACTGACAATAAAAGAATTTACCCAAGCTTAAAAGCATTCACTTTTTTTTTTGGTTTTTTACCTAAAAATTAAACAATGTTATATCATGTTTCATTTTTTGTTGATTAAAAAAAAACATAAGTACTAAGTACATTAGATGATAATATATAAAATAAAATAAACATACCTGCATGATGGGCAAAAAATAGCAAAGAAACTTTCCGAAAATCCAATTCTGCAGCAAAAGAACCACTAACGTAAACGGTAAAACGAAAATGCATTTTATCACATCCGATATGGCGATGTTAATTAAATAAGCATACGTAGGATCTCGATGTAATTTATTTTTAAAAATATGAAACATCATAAAAATATTAAAAACAACTCCAAAAAAAATTAACAAGGTATAGAGAAAAACAAAAAGCGGATAAATTTGAACCACAGATGATCGTAAATGTGGTTTTGTCAAGTCTTCAGTTTCCGATAAATTTCTCAAGCCATAAATATAATGAGCAACAGCTTGGAGATATTGATCAGGTATTGAATCCAAATCTTCAAGTGTTGTTTTCATTTTTACAGTTTCTTGCATCTAACTATTAATTTCATCAAATGATATATTCAATTATCTCCCATAATTATATAGAATTATTAGAGTAATTGATTATTAATAAATCAAAATTAATCTATTGACAACCCATCCTTCTAACAGATCAATAAGCTAATTGCTCTACAGAATCTCTGTCTATTACTATATCTTTACTGTCTTGTTTACATTCCAACATCAAGTTTTCGAAACTTTCCTTTAACCTCCTCTTCCACTTGATATACGATTTTATTTACATTGTATTCTAGTAAATACTTAGAAACACTTGAAAATAAATTGAATTTATAATATAATTGACTTTTTCATGTAATTAAATAGTAAAAATAAATTCAATTTTGATATAACTCGTAAGAAAATAGTCGATCTCAACATGGAGTTATCGCCGAGGTGACCAACCATGCGGATGCCGCGGTTGCTACTGACTTTACGTTAAAATACTCGAGGGTTAAACTGGGGTAGTTTCCTCTTTTCATCATTCCTTGCGCAGATTCCACCCTCGATGGACAATTGTTGCTACACAGACTGTGAAAGCGTACTCGTATATAAAACAGTACCGGTTTTTTGCACTTGATACTCACCAATTTTTTTTTGTTTTCAATAAAACTTCGAAAGTTTTTTAAAATATTCACCATTTTATCGTAAAATTTTTTCAGGTCTTGTTTACTATTTTAGTAGAGGTTGTGAGCTTTTCCAAGAATTGTATTATTTTTATATCGGATAACTGTACTATACCTAATAAATTATATATAAATTTTAAATCAAATTAAATAAATCTTTCATATCGTTTTTACAGGATTAAACTTATTTTTAAAAATAGAATGATTTAATTATTTATTAATTAGTTTTTTGAATTTAATTTGAAAGTTTTGTTGTTAAAAAATTCAAAGTTATCGACATGAGATAAATTGCGTAATTTACTGATATCAACTAGAGAGGTCACTACAAAACTAATCCTCTCTGTTTCACTCAGCTGATCGTGGAATCATCCCTAAAATAATTATATTTCGTTAAAAAAATGTCGTCTGTTGAATTAGATCCACGACCAGTGAGGCCGTCACCTTTAATTAGGGTATATTGTTTTTAATTATTATAACTTTAATACCATAATTTTATTTAATGTACAGTAATACAAGTCTGATGAACTTTACTTGAAATTGTGGTGTCGTGCTCCATAAGCGAAATATTACATAATTTTTATATTTTTGCATTTTTTTTAAAATATAAATTATATTCGAAATAACGTTTTACAGGTTTCAAGATGGACAATGTTAGGAGCAGGTATTATTTATGGTATTTTCCATCAAAATAGATTAAGTAAGAAAGAAGCGGCTTGGCGAGTAGAAGAAGATAAGCGTAAGGCTATCAGAGACAAGAAGTTGGCAGAAGAAAAACGTCTTGCTGCTGAAGGTATTCAAATTTCTATTATAACATGTTATATTGAATATTATACCTCATTAATGAAAGCATCTATTATATATCATGCAACTAATTTTGATAAACAATTTTATAATTTTTTTAATAGCTGAATGGAGATTATTAGAAGAACAAATGAAGTAAAACAATAATATCGAAATAATCTAGTGGATTTCATTGTGAAAAATGGATCGCTGTACAAATAATAGTTTCATTTCAAAACTCAATATTAAATCAATGTGATAGTGCATTATGAAAAAGTTGAATTCAAAAAATATATGATATAAACTTATAACTCAACTGTAACCTTTCTATTTATTTTCAAGTACAATTCTTTATAAAATATAACTTATAATTGGTTATCAAATTATACTTGAGAAGTCAAAGTGAATGGCAGCATTAATAGATTGGTTATCATTTATTAATATCCTTAGAAAAGAACGTAAGTAGAATTTTTAATATTTATATTCTCTTTTGTCAAGTATTGAAAAATGGTATTCACATGACCTTTAGTTTTTATATAAATTTCTAAAGTGTAAGTAATTTTATCGTAACAATTTTTTAATTCTCTTTAGATACTTTATTTTCATCAAACTCGATATAAATGTCATTTGCAATACTTGAAATAGAGTATTATAATTAAGTTTTGCACGGTCGGTATTTAATTATTCTTTGATTTATTATTTTCTTTAGATTTTTTTAGTGTTCTTTATTTAAATTTCATTTCATTGTTTATTATATTTTATTTTTGTATTTATGTATTTATTAAATCTTTCGTTCTTCATCCTACGTCACAAGCTATTTAACCCATATATACTTCGTTTGCATACTACAGATTAGTCGCGCTTTGTAGACATTCTTTAGTGTTGAATTTTTATATGAAATTCTTCTCAACTTTTCAAAAAGAGTGCCAAATTCTTTACATATTTCTACTCTTAGCCCAGCAATCAAATTCAAAAAAAAATATCCTATTGTTTCCCACTACTCTTTGTATTATTAAGATAAATTTTTTTGTTTTATTTCTGACTTGTACATATTTATGTAATTTCTTTATTTGAACTTCATTTGCTTCAAGTTTATCTCTGGGTTCCTTTTCAATAAAAACCCTCTTCACATTGATCTAGAACTGTCTTTATATAATTTATCACGATTTAAATTTCTCTACTACTTGCTTAGTCTTTATTTTCCGGCTTTTTATTATATACTCTTCTTTCTTACATCAACAATTGATATATAATTACTGTTTATCTTATTTGAAAAAAAATATTCTTTAACACATTTTATTTGTATTTAGCAAAAAAAAAAAGAGTATTAATTATTTATTTTCTCGGCTAAAAATATTTATAGCTTTAATTCAATAATAATATTTGATGAAAAAAACTACACACTTTCATAAAAAGTCAGTGGAAATAAGTGAATTTTATAATGAATGAAAAATAAGAATAAATTAAAGGCAGGATTAAAAGTTGAAAAGCGTTTAGAAAAAATGCGAAAGCTTTATGGAGTTTATAATGGAAGAAAAGTCTCTTACATATTTTTATTATTTATATACATACATTATTTTATATTTAGAATATTTTCAAATAAGATTAACAATATTCATTCATTTATATGTACATACGATAGATAAACGAAAATTCTCCTTTTTGGTTTAAGTTTAGAGAAATCGTTCATGCAATTAAAGTTAAGCTATTAAAGTTAGAGTAGAATAACCACAGACTAGACTTTCCAGAAATGAATACAATTTTAATATAAAGTGCACAAAGAATAATAAAACTGTGGCGTTACATATTAAGTGTATGCACATTGAGTTGAAAAATTTTTTTAAGATAATTTTTTTATATTTATTAATTTTTAATTTATGTAAATATAGTTTAGATTACAAAATAGAATTTTTCCACGTGTAGGGAATATTTTAGCGTAAATATATCCTTCACAAACCGCAAACTTAATGTTTAGTTTCTTTATTGATGAGTTTAAGTTGAAGCACGTGGCATGATCACAGAGTACACTTTATTTTGAGGGAGTGTTATTTAAATATTAAAGTTCATTTTAGAGGGAGAATAAGTGTTGAGAAAGACTAATAGTATCAAAGGGGGAGAAATTAAAAAAAAATTAGTTTTCAAATTTATTTTAAATAAACAATAAAATTGAGACATGACTTTTTTAATTTTCTGTTTTCTTACTATGTATCAATCAAGTTGACGTATAAGTATTGACAACTGCGTAGTCGGCTCACAAATTGATTTAGAAAGGATAACAGCTATTGCGTATTGAAGTAACTCTATAAATCTTACATTGGATTTTTTACATCGTATTTTGTAATCTATTATTTGAAAAAAGTATTATGATAAAAATGATATTTTCGTGTAAGCAGAATAAATTGAAATTCGAGTTTACATTATTAAATGGAATATAATTATAAAAAACTCCATTTTATATCGTCTTATTACTTATTGATTCTTTAAAATCCACTGTCATTAATAAAGATGTAAAGAGTGATCATAAATCCTTAAAATTGACGTGTCAATAATTAAATAGTCTAACAAAAATTTTAATACATCAAAGAACAGTAATCAATATGTCATAGATATTATTCATGAATAATTTTTTTTTCAAGAGGAAATCTACGAAAAAAATCCAATGTAAAATTAATTACTCGGAAAACAAACTGTGATATTAATAATATAAAAATTATCATTCATATATATATAAGATTATCCAAGTATTTTTTCTTCAAGGCTTTAGGTACAAGTATTTATAGCTTATGTAATTTATTAAAATAAATTATTATTTTTTAATAATAAAATAATCAAGTTATAAACATTATCCATTCGTAAGAAGGGTTAATATGGGAATATGAAATAGACATTTTGCTGTCTAAGATAACATATATTTTTTACATTTTTACACAGGAATGTACACATCAATATATTTTTATAAATTATCTCAAAATAAGTACAAATTAAAATGCAATAAAAGCAAAATATGAAATATTTTATACAACCATTTGAACTTCAGTATTATTAGAAAATATAATTCATCAATTTCACCTCTTTTTCATTGTTTAAATGCCGCCATAGTGTGCTCAGTAAATATTTAATAATATTTGAAAACATTTCGGTATTGGTTTAGACTGGAATCACTTGAGTTTTATTGTCCTTAGTAATCAATTGTAAGAGACTTCCATTTTTTGGTCGTTCCTGATTCTGTGACCATTTCCAGAAAAGACTGCAATAAATCCAGATAGTGTCAGCTCTTAATGTAATGAATAGGATAAAACTATTCAAGAGGTTTATAAGATTAAACACATACTCAGCTACGAAATCAAGGGGAGTCCAGCTACTAGTATCAGCATCGGCCATCCATTTACGATTCATCGGGGTATCAAGAGTTACTGGAAGAATGGCAGCAACCAAAGAATTATTAGGAAGACCACTGCTTTTACTAGCAAGCGATTGTGTTAGTTGATGAACAGCTGCTTTTGCCATTCCATATCCGATCATTCCTGTAGAACAATATTTTAATATAAAATTATGTTATGTTATCATTTTTTTAATAATTAAATCTGATTTTAAATCTTAACTTTTAGGAAAATGAGAACATTTCAAATATTTTAATAAAATAATGACCTCAAAAAAGTCTCTTTTTTATAACAGTTCGTTCCGGATAACATAAAGTATCTACTGACCAGGAGTTCCTTCAAGCGCAGCTTTGGCTCCAGTCAAGGATAAAAATCCACCTTCTTTTAAATAATGAGCAGCAATACTAGCAGCAATAGTAGAACTCCACACACTTTGTTTCCACATCAATTCAGTATTAGAAAGGAAGTCTTTATGACTGGCATTGCCACCAGCCCAGCCTCCAGCAACACAAATAATGCCATCAACTTTTTCCTCCTTGAGAATATCCTTCACTTGAGCAAGAATACTTGTTTCTTGTTCTTTCCAGCTGTGATCACCATTGACTATGACATTAGCATCAGCAGCTTCATTAGCTTTCATATCAATACTTCCAACCCACTAAAAAATAACAATAAAAATTAAAGATCATTATGATTGCAAATAATATATCTAGTTAATCAGATAAACAAACTTACCCAATTTTTTGCTTTAAATTGTGTTACACAAGCAGAGCCGAGGGCCCCCTTGCCTCCGTAGACGAAAACACGACCGAGAGCGTTGGACATAGCTCGATAAATGTCTACTTTTTACTATTTTACGCAAGAAATGCAAGATTATTTTACGAATGTTTCCGAATGACTTCGGCTGCTTTCGTCTTGCTGTCACAGCATCTCGGTACAATAACAATCTTTTCTACCGCTGTTTTAATTACTCCATTTACATAAATTCGAACAACTCTTTCTTTCATTCTTAAAAGACAAAAAAAATAATTCAAACTCTATTTTTATATATATTTCGCTAATGTGTCCTTGGATTTGATTATAATGAAAATAAAATCAGCTCATTATTTGTACTGTTTGATTTTAAATCTTCCGCGTGATTATGAAGTTTCGGATAATGTACCAATGGCGCTTAATTCGTCTCCCCCTTCTCTGTAAAAGCAAATTTTGCGTGCGTGAACGTAGTAATAAACGTGACGTGACGGTAGCCTAGTTGGGTTAGGTTTACGCTGAAAATTTTTAACGAAAAATTATTTGTTAAATTGCATTAAATGTTTCTTGTATATTTGTCACAAAGATAAACACGAGTTGCTGACACGAGTGTCCAATAAATAATAGTAATTGGTGAAGCATCGTGACCTGTGAAGCCCCGCATTTCTCTTGTATATGAAATTCTAAACGGAAAATGAGTCGACATGAAGGTACGTAAATGTGCTATCTCTTGAGCCAGACTAGATCTTAATCTTAATCTCATTGAACATCTAACAAATTTTTCAGATTTATTTACGTTCTGGGAATTTTATTATTGGATATTTTACCATGTTATTGATAAGAATTAACATTTTATATTTTCATTTTTGAGCGAAAGCTACAAATTACAGGGCTAATGTCAGAGTCTAGGTGGCAGCACTTCTTAGAAATTAGCCTGATTTTTTATTAAAAAATTTGTTTAATATAAAAATTTAATTTAATTAAAATATCACTACACAACAATGATTATTTATTTTACATGAAACTTCATTATTTTGGAAAATATTTTTATTTATTTCATCTTGAGATATTAATTATCTATTAATATCGCTTCTTTCTTTATAATAATCATTTCTATTTAAAAGCTAAATGCAATTTTTATTCCACTTTTTATTCTTCATTTTTTTACGAACCTAATCTATTTTCACATAACCTCACAACGTCCTGGTCAATGGTAGGAAAACATTTTTAAGAATGGTCATAAAAAATAAAGGTATTAGCCTTTAAAATAGTTAGAAAAAAATGAATTACTATTTAATAAATCCATTGACCTTTGACCCATTAATATTATTTTTCTATAAACGACTTATGTGCTACTTTGACCTTCAAAAATTTAATTTACATTTATGAACAATTAGAGAAGTTTATCTTTTCACGATAATAATCAAATTCATCAATGTTTGTGAATGGTCTCAATAGAAAACTATATCTCGTAAGATCTACATTTGATATTCAAGTTCATTCTGCAACTATTGAAAATTCAAGATACTTATTGCATAATAAGACAATTCACTGAATTCCTTTGTCACAGAATGTTTATTTCTTTATATCTCGTTTATTATTAATATTTACTTATCAGAAAAATTAAAAAAATGATTGATTTCAGGGGTGAGCTGTGACTCCTGTCTAAAAGGTAACTTTCGGGGTCGCAGGTACAAGTGCCTAGTGTGCTATGATTACGACTTATGTGCAAGCTGCTATGAAGCAGGCGCTACAACAACACGTCACCTTACTGATCATCCAATGCAATGTATCCTCACAAGAACTGATTTTGGTAAGGATATAAAAATACCTTATGGTTTAAAGATAGATTGGATGTTTAAAAAGGTTTGTCATTAAATATTGATGAGTTCGATTTTTAATCATTTCTTTTTTTAGAACTTTATTATGGAGGAGAAGGCGTAAGTGTGGAACAACCACAATCTCTAACCTGCCCATATTGTACGAGAATGGGTTTTACAGAAGCAACTTTACAAGAACACGTTACTGCTGATCATGCGGATACCACATTTGAAATAGTGTGTAATTTACCATCGCCTTTAAAGAACATTATTTAGACCATTAGTGAATGTGATGAAGTATTTGATATCAATATTTTTATATAAAGAAGAAATGAATTGTGTTCCGAGTAGTTTTTTTCTTAGACGGAGCAGAATTATTTAGATTATTCAAATCATTATATAAGTATAATTGTAGAAATAATTGATCAGGATTATGGTATATTGATAAAAATTTATAATAATAACTGAAAATTTGTTATTGATGACTATAGGTGTGTCCAGTTTGTGCTTTTGTGCCAGGAGGTGATCCGAATCACTTAACTGACGATTTTGCAAACCATTTAAGTACAGAACATCGTAGTGGACCAAGAGATTTGATATCATTTTTGGATGAACCAGCATCTAGTAGACATGGTCCTCGACGAATACCTCATTCATCTCGAGGTGTTGGTGGAACTCGAACTCGACGGTATGATTAGTTAAATATTCCCACAACTTTATTTTTTCAACAGGCAATAGAAAAATCTCACAACCTTCTGATTAGTATGATTTTATTATGTTACATTTTTTACATCAATAATAATCATTTTTATTTGAGTTCATCATAAACATTACTTCACAAACACCTGTTGAAAAAAGGTTGTTGGTAGAAGTCTATCAAAAAAAATAAGTTTAGTCACTCATATAACTTATAAATCATTTTAATTACTGTCTTGGCCCTTCTTGTTCCTTTGGAATCATAATATCCCTAGATATCGTTCATTCCAATGACGATAGGACCTTCAGGTCCAACATGCTTTTCAGTTCGTCCGGAGGACTCAGCCCAAGCAGTCGAGATAATATAGATCCTATTGCGGAATTATTGTCCCAATTATCTGGTGTTCGTCGAACTGGTGGTAGTACTGGCCAAAATACTCAGCTGCAACAATTGCAAATGCAATTGCAAATAGAACGTCAACAGGTTCGGGTAAGGATCAATCATTTTACTAACTCAAAAGAGTTTTTATTCAAGTATATTTATTAATAAACAATGGTTTAGGCTGCAACAAGACATCAATTAGACCGAATGCCCAGAAGGCAACCGCAAGCAATTGGCTCAGTTAGTGGTGGAAGTAGTGGAAACGGTGGTAATGCAAACTCGAATAATGCTAATAGCGGCAGTCATTCTACTACAATGGCAGGTGTAGTTACAAACAATACAGCGAATAATAATAATTCAATAGCTGTCAACCCGTCCAGCGGATCATCTGCCAATTCTCAGAATTCAATGTTTTTGTTGCCTAGGTATGCTTAAAATTTTTTACAGCCAATTTTAACTTAGTAAATATGTCATGTCATGGTCAGAATAAGCTGCCAAAAGTTTGCGTCATCTTTAAGCACGATTAATCTCATTTTTTTTTGTTTTTTTCTTCTGTCACCAGATGCATCTCAACAACACTATCAGACTCACAGCTTCAAAGCATTGAACGTGAAAATGCAAACAAAAGTCTATTTGTTCGAGAATTAGTGATGGGAACATTAGCACAAGCGTTACCAGATTTAACGCCGCAGTCGCAGTCATCAGCAATTCAAACTCCAACCTCAAGTACGACGACAGCAACGACAAGCCCTGAAACGCCAAATGCATGTGCTACAGTCACTGTAAAAAAGTCTAGTACTTCATCAGTTCAAGAGGGAAAAAGAGAATCTACAACAGCGTCAGCTAAACCACTTTTAACTGGTCAATCTCAGCATCAAGTTCATTCAACTGCTGCTGGTAGTGTAGCAGCAAGTCTCCCAAGTCAAGGATTACCTGCAGCAAATCCAATAGTACAGACATTAATGCATAGTGTATTACCTCAGCCATTGGTAAGTTGTATTAAACTGAACTGAACGTTGACGAAATTAAATAGTGATATTTCGTAGGTTTTACAGCAACCACTACCACCACCAGTAAGAAATACTGGAACTGGAACAATTAGAGAACCGATTGGAGCTCCAGCGCCAGCTTATCTCCGAGGTGGAGTTGGGTCCGTTGGAGTTACAGGCTCATCACGAAGAAAACCTGTACGATCAGTCGACGGTAGAAACCAATCAACAGAGCCTCCACCCCCACACTAACCCGTTAGGTTTTTTTTTTGCTTGGTTTCCTTCTCCCTTAATCCTGTTGGGCCCTACACAAACTCTCCTTGATCCCTCTAGCACTAGTCCTAGCACTGTTTAGAACACATCATTGTTGTTATTATTATATTATATATTAATAATTGATAATTATTTTCCATCCCTCTTAACCCGCCCGTCTGAATAAGAGACTTCTTTCGCTAAAAAAAAAAATGAAACAATGGAAACAAATCGACACTTAAGACACTGAGACATATGTGTAATCTTTCTTGAGATGTATTTATGTACATAATTATTGGGTTTTTCATCGACGTCTATCTCACTTATTGCCATTATTAATGTAAATAATTCATATTGTCATTTTTAAATTCTTCGTAATATTTAAAAAGCATTTTATATTCAAAATAAAGGAAGATTTTTTTCTTATTATTTTGAATATAAATGATTCAACCAACTTTGAAATATCTTTGTTTTTACAACAAAGAGAGTTTTTATCGGGATAATTCAATCTTACGAAAAGACGTCGATGCAAAAAAAAATTTGAAAAACCCTTTAATATTCTTAAACTCTCTCATTTTTTCACTCTCAGTGAATTAATCGGGCTTCAACTTTCCCGCAAGTGTCTTAGATCTTTATCAACTTTATCTGCAGCCCATTGATTATAATCTTGAAGTATGAAAATGAATCTATAGAAAATCGCTCATTGTTACATGCCTGATAAAGATTCGTATACGTTGCGTTTAGTTTTCTTTTTTCAAGTACTTTAATATTATTCTTTGTCATTTTTTCGTCGTACTATTATTTGTAGATGCTTGTGAGAATGATTTATGAGTGACAATTGATAAATGTGAATAATATCAGTTATGAGTGAAGAAAATTTATATATATAAATATAAATAAATAAAGTGAAGAAAATAAAGAACGTGGAAAATCATCAGGGTATGCGGTAAATTTTCAAACTATCATTACTCATCAATATAATTAATTATTATTACTATTAATGAACCTTACTATTATTATAATTAATTTTTTTCTTTTGAAGAGTGAGAAAGATATTTTCATTTACTTGACACTTGATTATTTACTCTCTCCTTCCCGGTAATATTAAAGCACGAATAAAGAAAGAGTGAAAAAGGCTGCAATTGAAAAAGAATAAAATAAAGATGAAAGTAATAGTCTATTTACAGATTTCATTTTCTTGACTAAAAATTTTCTATATTCAAATACTTGGAGTAATATTTTAGCTAATGAACGATAATAAATGCTCGAATCGATTGGATTAAATAATAAATTATTTTTCATCTGTAAAATGACTAAATGACCGAGTGAATAGTAAATAAAATAAATAAAAAGTAAGATAATAATAAATATTTAAATATGCATAATAAACGAGACTATAATTGTAATTTTGTATTCAATACAAGAATGTATTTCTCAATATCTCTCTCAATCTTCAATTCTGTAACACTTTTGCAAATGTAAAAAAAATCGTTTCATGTATTTGTGAATGCTATTCCACAAATGTATTTTATATTTATACTTATTCTGTAACTATATATGATAATAATTGCATGTAATAAATCGTATAATGGTGATAACAAGAATCAATGAGAGAAAAGAAGGAATAAAAGTATTCATAGAGCGGGTTAATAAGAACAATCAGTTTAATAGTCTATCATAAAATATTTATCGAAAATTTTATTGAATACTCCTATTTAACTAATTTGTTGCTATTATATTCATTATCAATAACAATTAGTAATCATTATAAGGCTTGTAACTGTATAAAACCTGCGCTTGAAAAAAAATGGAGTCTCATTGTATAATAATTATGGTTTAGAGGGATTAGAATCAAGACACAAATCAACAATAAATGCAGTAATCAAGCTAGATAGTAGTTTAATCAAATTTTATTTAAAATTTTTCAATTTTTATGTTGAAAAAGGAATAATTTAAATGAAAAATGAATGCACTGTCAAAGCTGTAGAATGATTTTTGACAAAATTTCGATTTAAACGATTGCATATTTAGTTAACTAAATTTATTAAATAAAGAAAATGCACGCGAATAAGTATTTAATTGAATTGATTAAGAAGTGTTCATCTGCTGGGTTGATAATTATACGGGAAGGAGATCTAATTAAGACAGAAAATCAAATGATGAATATGAGTGTGGGAAATGAATAAAATTATAGTAACAAAAGAAAAGCGTTTTAAAATAATAATAATTATTATGATTTTGATTATTATTATTCTTATTATTTACTAATAGGAAATAAATAAAAATCTTATACATAATTAATGAATCATTAAAAACAAAAATGTACATTGTGTTTTACTGTATTTTATGTTATGCCTCTGATGCTGAATATAGTAAATGAATCATTAAATTAATAATTACACATTTAAAATTTTTAAGTCAAAACCAACAGTGTATTTTTTATTCATTCAGATTTAGTAGTATTTATATTCATTTTTACTTATACAGATATTTTTAAAGTTCATTTACTACCATACAACTTTCTTCTTGAGTTAATCGATATTATATTGATTATTTTTCGTTATAAAACTACTTTATTGGCTAACATAAAATAAAAAATGTGTATCTTGAACAATTTGACTTCCCTCAAAGTAATATATTAAATGACAATAATCATTTGTTTATTTATAAAATTCAATTTCTCCCACAGAATTTTATTGACATGCGCACAATAATCGAAAATTAATGGCGGAAAACACGGTTCAAATAAAAAAAATTATATTGAATCAGTTTTTGGATACATTTTTATTAAATTTTAAATGTTCTATAATTATTATTGATTGTTCACTTGAAAAAATCTATATATTAAATATAAACGATAATTTGAATACAAATATATGGTCACTGAATTAATGTTGTATTCAAAAAATATTTGTGCAAAAACGTCGTAACAATGCCGCCGCGTTTTTTGATAACCTAAAATTTTATTATGATTTTGAAAAGTCCGGCTACCAGAGGCATAAAGTTTTTGCAAAAATTTAATTATCATTTAGTAAATAACAACTTTAAATACAACAAAATAATGGGTCCACTTGAAAGTGCAAAAAAAATCGCAGCTTATAAAGCTGTCGATGAGTATGTAAAGGTAATATTCTCTTATTTTTTAAATAATCGAGATGAATGCTTAGGTTATGTAGAGGATGATTTTTATTGTTACATTTTTTAAACTAGTTAATTATTATCATTATAGAATAACAGCATTATTGGCATAGGCAGTGGTTCTACTGTAATTTATGCTGTACACAGAATTGGTAATCACAATTTTATATTTTATTTATTGTAAATAAGTAATACATGATTTTTTTCAGCTGAGAGAATTAAAGCAGAAGACTTGCATGTTGTTTGTATACCAACGTCTTTTCAAGCCAGACAGTTAATAATACGTAATCATCTAACATTGGGTGATCTCGAGACACATCCAAAAGTAATTCATCGATTCCACGAAAGTTTTAAATACTTTCATTATGCCATTATTAATAATTCACATATTTGATTGTAGTTGGACTGTGTTATTGATGGAGCTGATGAAGTTGATGCAGATTTGACTTTAATTAAAGGTGGAGGAGGTTGTTTATTACAAGAAAAAATTGTTGCTTCTTGTACTGATGAACTGATAATTATTGCTGATTATACAAAGAATTCTGATAGATTGGGACAACAGTATAAGAAAGGGATTCCTATAGAAGTTATTCCTATGGCATATGTTCCAATTAAAAAAAAAATTGAGGAAAATTATGGTGGAGTGGCAAAAGTTAGAATGGCTGTAGCGAAAGCAGTAAGTACATACATAAAATATAATATAAAAGTTTTTTTAAGATAAGACAGAAATTGTGACTACTATACATAACAAAAATACATACACCAAAATTATTTTATCACTTATTTCACAATTAGTTTTTTTATACTAAATTTTAATTACTTGAGAGATCAACAAGAATTGTGTAATAACTTAAAAGTCATGCGTTTATATGTGTATGTTTATTTTTGGATCACTTTTTTAATGATGAACACATTAATAATTTATCAATTATATCTTGCGTTGCCAGCGATATTCTAATCGCTTTTATTCTTTATGGGTCAATTTTAATTACTACAACACTAAATTATCTTTTAAAGGGTCCTGTGGTGACTGATAATGGAAACTTCATCCTTGATTGGCACTTTCCATTTGAACTAGAAAAATCATGGGAAAAAGTGAATACTGAAATAATTTCAATGCCTGGTGTAGTAGAGATTGGGCTTTTTGTAAATATGGCTAAGAAAGCATATTTTGGCATGGCTGATGGTGGTGTCAAAGAACAAACTTTGAACCAATAGAATTGGGGTTACTAATGTACATAAGACGGAGTGAATCAACTTACCATGTGTTTATACCATCAAAACTATATTTTTTTATAAAAGTTCATTTCTATTTTATATTTGCTCAAATGTGAATCATATAGATCTTCATTTTGGTACTTATTTTTAATTTTCAATTATTTAATTTATGACTCAAGCATATTTCAAGGTACAACGAAGAAATTATTTTACCTCAACTACTTGATAGAATTTTTTTACATTGTAACTGATTGCAAATAAATGATTTTACTTATATCTCATTTCTGAGTTGTGTATGGCAGGTATGGGCCATGTTGTGCCCATTGTGACTATCCTGTCCCAGTCACTAGTACTTTTAGCCATTCCGAAAATGGGTCTTCACATTAATTATTAATTTTAGGCCGTAAGAGGCTACGTTTTCAAAGTAAAAGTTCTCTTTAAGATTAAGAGTACTCGTACAATAAGACCCACAATGAAAATTATATTAAGTGACCCAGGTACTAAGTTAAAGGGACTTTGAGAAGTCCCAATAGCCGATGCCTGGTGTATAGTAGAGAATATGTTTATAGCTAAGAGAGATCTTAGCTATAAACAAAGAAAGATGTGAATAGAATTTTCTTTCAAATGGCCCGATGTGGCCAGAAAATTTATTATGAAATTAGTATGAATTCTTATGGCAGGGGTGGGCAAACTTTAACTTTTGCAGAGCACCAGTAAAAAGGTCTACCTAGTAAAATCTTCTATCTCTCTCACTCTTACTTGCAGGAGTAATAGCTCTGAAAATTATACCTGAAGAGCCACGTTTGTCCATCTCTGGTCTTATTATATGGCGTTAGGTAGGAGTTTAACACAGTTGTGGTGAACCAAGGTAATCCCTAAACAAAACATAGTATTGAACTTCTATGTCTTGTCATGTTTTGACGACAATTATCGCTTTCATCAAGTAATGAAACTATAATTTTATGTTTATTACTCTACCGTTCCTATCACTAATAGGATTTTTATGATAAAAACTTACGAAGAAACGTAGAGATACGTCAAAATTTGAAGAATAGATTCTAACCTTTAAAAGTCACATGGACTTCTAATTGGAGTAATGCCATTGCAAAACAATAAACATTAGTTGTAATGAGAGATTATAAAAAAAAATATCAATACAGATTTAGCTTCAAATTATCAAAAAAAAAACTATACAATTGAAATTATAAAAATTACAAACTTAAATTTATTGGAGTAATTAGCACTCAAAACTTCAAAAAGAATCGCCCGAACAGGGACTTGAACCCTGGACCCTCAGATTAAAAGTCTGATGCTCTACCGACTGAGCTATTCGGGCATGACATGTGTATTATCCTAGGTTTCTTAAAAATTTCTCTTTTTTTTGCAAAGTTTTTGTAACTTTTGTAAAATTATCTGCCAATTTTAGATTCAATAAATATTTTATTTTATGTTTTAATAACATTTATTCACAAAAAACGGAGTTTACACGAGTAATTACGAATTTTATCGTATTCCAAAATTGAATTACTCAAAAATCGTTGGTTTGGTAAAATAAAATTATTGTGTAACATGAACTACGATGAACTTATTGTTTATTAACAAGTATGATAATAATCTGTCAATAACATATGTGTTCCTTCGATCGTAAACTTTTGTATACATTTAAACACTCCAATGATTTTAACTACTCATAACAGCTATATTTGCACTATGTGAATCAAAATTTCGTAGAAAATAATTATCTGTTTGCATTGACTATTAAAAATTAAATCACTGAAAATATTTTTAAAATAGAAAACTCCATAAAGTAAAAATAAAAAATCCATACATGGATGAGTTGTGTTTCGGAGTACAGTTATACTGACTTTTAAAGCAAGTGAAAGTCGCTTATTAACTCCAAAATATTTATGTGTACTTTATAGTACAATCTCTGATTGTCTTTCTTTTAAATAGAAAAAAAATCATCTCTACTTATTTGAACACTTGAATGGATTTTGATAATTAAATTATTGAAAAATTTTTAGTTTTTTATCATTATAAGTAAAGTTAAAATTCAAACGAGTCACTCTTAACGTAAAAATATTAATGATTACTTAATTGATGATTATTATTTAAAATACTTTTAGCAAAAAAATTCGAGTACAATTTAATAGCAGCTAAATAGCATGGTCAATTTTTTTGGATAACACATAAAAAGCTAAAAACAATATCAAGTTAACTTTGAATAGAATTTAAAATCATTTGAATAGTAGGAGAATTTTGACTGGGAGAGACATCAATAACATAAATAACGCCAAATTCATTTAATAATGTAAGTACCCCAACCTTATACGCATTATATCTTTTGTCATTAAAAGTTTTAATGTTTCTTTTAACTTATAATCTTTCCATTGTTTCCCGACCAAGACACACTGCATAAAATATGGATTAATAAGTGTAATAGTTTTATCACAAGTACCACAAGAACATAGAATGTATTATACGCACTGAAAATATTATAATAATATACAGAAGACAAATATTCAGTTAATAATAAAGAAAATTGATGTCTCTCTAGTTAGAGATAACTAAACAATAACATCAAGTCAATATGATTCTAAGTTTATACATTAATTTAATGCTTGTCTTTGTCAAATATAATTTCAATCTATTGTGAGAAATTACTTAAAAGCATCTATTTTTTTTTTTTATAATTAAAGTTAAATTTATGTTTAAGAAAATCTAGAAAATTGTTACTGTAATTCTTGAATTTCTGTAAATACATTCAACCTGGGATCATACTAAGGCATATAGCATTATAAATTACGTAAATACAGTCATGTACATCAATGGTATTATGAATCACAGTGTAGAATTCGTAAATTCAAATACAGAAGAGAATTCTCACAACCAGTGAATGGTACATGATACATGTTGTGATAAGTAATGTAATATTCCTTGTAACAAGTAGAAATTCAGAAAGGTGGAATAATTAAACTGATCATCTACGTGAATGGATAATCACTGAGCATTATTTAGCTATCTAGAATAATTTTTTTCATTAATTTATATTCAATTATCAATTTCTCACAAATCACTACACGTGGACACCTTGATTCTTGAATTTAATATTTCAATGTTTATTAATATTTCAAATAAAGTCGATGGTAATTTTTTCAAGATGTCAATTGATTATCACACAAATAAAACAAACTTATTTAGACACCCTTTTTCATGTGCTTGTTTAATAAATAATAATATATGAATAGATAACTCAATGAATAAATAAAAACAATGCATTCTACCGGAATTGAGCACTGACATCAACTTGATATTAAATAAAAGTCGTTACTCCTGACTTTACTCATCCACAAAAATAAAATGTTTTTATCTGGGACATAAATAATCACATTTTGACATAGAATAATTAATGGAATCGTAAGAAAATAGTTTTTATTGATAAGATATATACAATGGATGAAAATGACCTATCAAATACCATTCTTTCACGTCACTTTTTTTTACATATCTTATCAAAAATCATACATTAAAATATAATTATCGTATTCAAATCCCAAGATTCAAAATTTTTTCTTATTCTAGAGACACTCCGGAAATTTGCATAAAATAGAGAGAGATTTTTTTATTTCTTCAATTTCTAATAAATTGTCTTAAAAGTCTTAAAAAATTAATGAATACAAATAAAATTACCTACATGACATTACTTCACTTGATGTAATTCATTTATTTTATATATCATTAAACTACTTATTCTTCAAATAATTATGCCATTGAAACAAAACCAAATAAATCATAATGACTCACTATAATAGTAATAATATAACTGTTATTAATTGTAAGAAAAAATTTATGACAGCAGGTAGCAAACCTGGCTTATTTATGACTCAACATTAGGCTGTTGTTAACTTAGATAATGAACCTTAAATAGCATATTTTAACGAAGTATTTAATTAAATGAAGATTTTACTACAATAAAAATTGCAGGATGACAACCTCCTTATTCTACTTAACTACCAGTTTCTTATGGCATCCTGATCAGGAGATAAACTTTTCTACCCAGATATATTACACTTTGCCTTTTATACCTGGATATATGTCTCATTGCACCTCATGGCTAGGTAAATCTTCCAAAAGTGTAATATATCTGCGCAGGAAAGTCCACTTCCTGATCAGGATACCATAGGAAACTGGCAGTTAAATAGAATAAGGAGGTTGTCATACTACACGCAGAGAAATGTATAGTAAAAATTACCCTGAATTTTGTAGTAATTTGGTGACACTGCAGGGTGAGGGTAAAAATTACTATACATATTATAAAAATTACTGTGCACATTGTAAAAATTACTAAACTGCATAGTAATTTTTACTCTAATTTTATCTTAAAAATTACTATGCAGTTTAGTAATTTTTACAATGTGTACAGTAATTTTTATAATATGTATAGTAATTTTTACCCTCACCCTGCAGTGTCACCAAATTACTACAAAATTCAGGGTAATTTTTACTATACATTTCTCTGCGTGTACAAATTGTATGTTAGTGAATAGATATATCTCTAATTGCAGATCATAGTTAGGTAATTCTTTCAGGTATAAAGGGCAAAAGTGTAATATATCTGCGCGAAAAAGTCCATTTCCTGACCAGGATACCATAGGAAACTGGACGGTAAATAGACTAAGGAGGTTGTCATACTACAAATTTTATATCAGTAAAATCTTTATTATTCAAATACTTTATCTATAACAAGTACCATGTTTACTTGTCTCAAGTGAAAATGTACTTATCACTAGTATTACTAAAGATTCATCTTACTCCTTATTAAAAACTTTTCTCAATGCACATTTATTTATTAGTGACAGAATAAAAGTGTCTAAATAATTAATATCATTTTTCTAATCAATATAAAATAACAATGAATTTTTATAATTTAATTGTTTATTAAAAATAAAAATAAGGCGAATGAACTGAAGAATCTCAGCAGGATTTGATGTGAAAACAATGTAAGTACTTAACTCACAATGTTTTCCAAGATTTATATTCTCCATTAATCCGGAAAAGATATTCCTAAGATGAAAGAATAGTACTAAGATATTCAAGATGTTTTGCTAGCATTCAACAATAAATATGCATAAATAATCAAGTGAAACATAAATGAGGTGTGAATGGAGGTATAATCTTAGAGTCAAATGTCGATTAAGATGCAAGTCGTCAGTCAAAACATTGAGATGCAGCTATAGAATTCAAAATGAAGCATTTATTAAACTGAGATGCGGTTCTTCTTATCGTCCGGTGAACCTACAGGTGATATGTGCATAGAAATCATGTTTAATAGAATGCTCATATGGCTCATAAACATCCCGCGCATGGATTTCACTTCTTATATTTATGGTGGGGGACATGTATTTGAAGACAGAACGCTCTGTTTCCACGTTAAATACAAACAGCGGTGGTTCATAAACGTATCACAATATTCAATTATCCATTTATTTATTTGAAAAATATTTTTTTCTATAAAAATATTCGTTTTTACTGAAACTTTTAAATTTTTTCAAGTGATATCAATAATAAATTTTTGAACTAGTTTATTGAAAATTGTTTAAATTTACATCATGAAGGTAAGTACTAATTGTTCAATTTAAATAAATTTATTATATTATTTCATAATAAAAAAAACTCTAATTCGTTATTGCTAAATTAGAAACTAATTTCTTGGAAATAATCATTTTGTGTTCTAGTGTTTTAACTTTTGAAATGTTTTAATTATTTTGCAATGCAGATGATTGAATCAGTTATCATTATTTTCAGTAATTAAAATTTATTTAAAAAGTGTTATATAATTTTTCATTATTATTCGTAACAAACATTAATTAAAAAGATTACGTTAAGTTTGAAATGCTAAACAATACGTATTATAGATAAAATAATTAGCATATTAAATACATTGATTTATAATAATTAATACTACACCCCTTGCCTTTACAAATCTACTTTAATGAGTTATTCGTTATTTATATTTATATAAAAATTTTTTTTTTCTTAGTTTAGCACATATATGAGCTGGGCCTTAGTTGGATTATTTTTCATGTCTACGATAAATGCTGGCGAATTATCAGACAAAGTATTAAACAATTTTACTAAAATTGCATACATTAAATTATAACGATAAAATACTAAAATCATTAAATTAATATTGAAATAAATTTTTAGGAAGAAGTGTTATTTCTGGAAACACCATCAAGTGATGACAATATTGTGAAATCCAAAAGACCTTTTTGCAATGCTTTTACTGGTTAATATATATTTTATTTAAACAGTTTGATTATTAAATTTCTTCAAAAATATTTTTACTTTTCTAATTAATAAATAAAATTTTAGGATGCGGTAAAAAAAGAAATTATGATAATTCAGTGGAACGGTCACGAAACAGATTAACACCAAAAATTTCACCAATTGTATATCGTGCACTTATGCAAACACTTGATGAAGAAATTCGACGAGATAATGATCATCGATTAAATATCGATAATATATTTAACACAAATGATTATGATTCTACTGGTTATTATCCGGACCGAAAATTACCTCGTAAACGATTTCTCTAATATTTTTATTGTAAAGTATAATTATTTTTTGAGATTATAACTTAGAAGAGACTTTTTTGAGATGAAGATGATACAATGTTAATAAGAAAAAAAAACATTCATACTCTTAATAGATTATTGGCATCACCAACAATAAATTATGCAAGTGGTTCGGTGTAGAAACTTTTTTGAATGATAACCTTAATTAATAATTCACAGAGGAGTATTCAATCTTGAAAATCGATTTCCTTTCTATCATTGTAATAGTTATATTATCAATATATAAATAAACATATAAACAGTTATGCGTCATTGTATAAATCTATATATTTTTAACGTACCAACACTTTGTGTGCATTTAATAGTTGATATAAATTAGTTGGTAAACTATTTTATTTAATTTTGATTTGACAAAAGATAATTTTTTACTTATCATTTTTTGTCTATTTATAAATAGACAATTAGTTTTATATATAAACTATCTTTCCAAAGATATTTATTTGTGATAATGAATCGTGGGATGCTTGTGCCGACGCATTCAGGATTGTCATCCACCTGAGGACGTTCCCAAAAGTATGAGGGACAGACTGTTGATGGGTCCCAGGATCTAGATTTTCGATCTTGTCTTGATGACTTTGGAGAATGATCTAGAATCTTGGAATCATTATTAGCATAACATTAATAATTATCCATTGTTTTATTTATAACAATCTATTGTTTACTTTGGTTTCTATATGTAATTGAAAGAATTTATTTTTAGATAAACAAAGTAGATATACCAGTCGCGGGATATACTTCAGACAATAGTTTAGCCCTCGCTTTTATTTACATAAGAAGTATACTATTGTAATCGAATGCTTATTCTTTTAGCTACTTTGTTTGTTGTTTATATTGAGTTTAATGATGAGTTTATTGAATTTATTCAAAAGAATATCTGAAAGTTGCTTTTATTGAAAAAAAAGTATTTATTTATTTAAACAAAAACAATTCAATTTTTAATGAAATAAATTAAGGAAAAGATTGTTAAAAAAATTTGATAAATAATGTTGGAAATATTTATAAAGTAGCAAAATTGATTGAATATCAAAATTTCGAAATCTTAAAATAAATTATTAGAATCAATAAAACTATATCCATAACATTATGCAATAAAATATTTTATTGTTATTGCAATGTTTCCTCAGTACAGATGTGATTGAAGATAAACAGTCAAGGTGTAAAAAATATTTTATTGCAAATTTATGAATTTCAATTTTTTTTTTTATGTTTTTAAGGATTCATTCTTTTTAAATAAGTTAAAATAAAAATTATCATTTCTTAAAGAATAAAAAAAAAACTGAAGTAAAACATAAAGTGAATTAACGAAAGTTTATAGTATTTAATAAAAAGTCTAAAGATGATGGATTAATACAATTTTAATACTCAATAATTTTGTGTAATATTTTTTTTTTCTAAATAAATAATAAATTGTTAATACTGCTTAAGAAATTGTTGTGAAATTTTTTGGTAAGGAATTACATCTAAAAAAGCTGCATTTTATTTATATCCAAGCATTTCAATAATAATTATCAATATTTTTAGCGGCATATTTACTTGTCAAAACTATGGAATCATAACTGAGTTTGATTTGAATGACAGGAGTTCTGCATCCGGATTTTAAAATCTCTATGTATGAAGCATATGTTACAGAAATACTTAAATCTCCCTTTAGGATATTTAAACATTTCGTTATGTAACTGTTTTATCATAACGAATAACGTAACAACTAAATATAAATATTAACAAATATTATCTGCTATTATACAAAATAATATTTTCAAAGCTTTGTCGAAGAATTTTTAGAAGATATCTGAACGATTTTCATTTTTCAGAATTATTATTAAATATATTAAATTATTCAGAATTTATTTAACGTTTAGTGAGAATTGGCTGTAAAAATAGCTGATTTTTGCTTTTTTGATTGATTAAGTCAATAATAAGTTAGAGAGGAAGCAGAATTAGAAAAAAAAATTATCTACCATAAACTTTTATTTTCAATTGATTATCAATTAAACGAATAAAGCTTCATTCGGTTCAAAAATATTATAGACAAAGTTATTAATTGATTTATTTGTTCCTCAGAATATTGAAAAAATTTCCCTACTACTGGTACATCTGCTTCATACCACTTTAGCACTTAATTATTTGTAATTTATTTATTAAAACTAGACCATGTATTTGATTTGAAAATTCATTAAAAATTAATAGCACAGATACATGCACTGTATAACTATTTTTTAGTACCAAATTACCTGAATTTGAAGTGTATGGTGGAAAGGCCAATTTAATTGATCATCGAAGCAACCTTTCGTCAAACCTACGCTAATAAAAACTGTTCCATCAGGAAAATATTTTGGAGTAAATTTAATAAACATCGCAAACCCGCTGTTTTTAATGTAGAAAGTATTACTTCGTTCAAAAACACCAGTTTTCCATACAAGAAATTTTTGTTTTATATTATCCACTTTCCAATAATAAGTATAAATTTTCTCTAAATCAAAAATAAATCATTAAAATAATTTTCATAATCAGATAATACGAATTTTTTTCACAAACAAACCATTCGATTCAGGAATTTCACTAACAGTATCATTAAATTCATCAATTTCACTTTGTCTTGGTGATTGGATGTATACATTTTCATGATTTAAATTTTTTTCAACATAAAAATAATCCACTTGATTGTTGGTATCAATTAGCTGTTGAATTAATGTTTTAATTTCATTCAAATGATTGATCAAAGAATTTTCTAGATTATCAATTCGTTTGTATATCAGTTCTAGCAGAAAAAAATAATATTTGGATAATTATTAACATGATCAACCAATAAATAGTAAAAAAATATGAAACTTACATAATATTATGATAAAAATTAAATCAATCAATTATAGATTTATAAGAAAAATATTTAGTCAATGATAATAATAAATAATAAAAATTTTCTGTCAACTTACCATTATCACATCCATTCATTACAACTCGAGTGATGGTTGCCTGTGCATCAGCAACCAATTTATCAGTTGTAATTTTACAGTTGGTGTATTGTGTTTCTGTATTGTTGTAATGAGTGATATTTGATACAGAAATCATTATTTCACTCCTAATTATTGATAGTCTCAATACACTAATAATGAAAATAATATGGTATTGTTGTGACATTATTATCCAATTCTAACATTGGAACTTGAAGAAGATTCACTGTACTGGAGACTAAATTGTTAAGAAGAAATTCTGGGTGCAAACAAAAATAGATTTCACCGCATTTTTGCTGAATTACATCGACTAAAAATTGTGTCACGGGCATTAAAAGAAATAAAAAAGTGAGAATAATTTTCATTTCAGTATTCCTTTTTCGTTGTCTCTTTTTAGTCATCATTATTATAGGCATCGTGTATATTGCATCTGTTCAACTACTTATTTGTTTGAATTTATATCTAAAAATAATATATAATTGTTTAATTGAAATTTTATGTTACCAAACTTTATTGTTATTAATATAGTTGAACTTTAATTTTTAAAATTGTTATTTATTATTTATTTATAAGATAGTGTTTGTTGACGACAAATAATCTACAATATACAACTAAGAATAAAAATAATGAATTTAATCCTATAATAATTCAATCACATAGATTTACTAAAATACTAATAGCCGACTTGATATTTAAATCTGATTTATTTGTCATGACTTATTAATAAGTAAAATAAATATATTTCATTTAAAATTCTCTATAATATTTAAATTATCAAAATTTAGTTTAAGCGCCATCTAGATGAACATTTGCAGCACTATCCGATAAACAAAATGTTGGTATGGTAGATTCAGTTAAAAGCAAATGAAGCACTAATCAGTCAAGTTGTTTGGATACACGTGAAATTATAAATTTTTCTAATTTGAAATAACAATGAATGTTCTTACTAAATCAGGTAGATATTTTTTACGTTCAAGTATCTATTATGAGAAAGTTCTAGCTCCAACATTCACAAGACATTATGCTGAGACTGAGTGGAAAGATGAACTTGATTTAACCTCAATAGAAGAAACTCCAAAATATGTAGATGCAATAAGTGATGAAGAAAAAGCAGAAATATTAAGAAAAAGAAATAAATCTTGTCTAAATCCTGAACATCGTAACATTTTACTTGGTAAAAAACCTTATAATCAAAGCATAGAGACCTTTCATGATACTATAACATACAAAAGAAAAATGCTTGGTAGACATGGTCTAGAAGCATTAGATATACCGGCCGGAGCACTCTGGCTTACTAAGGACGGTATTGAAGATAAATTGGAATATGAGAGAGTTTATAATCCATATACTCTGCAAGAGGGTTGGAAAATTTTAGAAGAAAAAAGACAAAAAGAGGCAGAAACAATTCGACTAAGGTATTTTAATTTTTTTCAACTTTTATATAAATATAAAAAATAGAAATTATTATTAAATAATAAATTAAATGTTGTTCAGGGAGGAAGAAATAGAAGCAAATATGAAGAAACGTTTCACTTGGGAAAAAGAACTGCAAAATAAATTAGCCAAAAAAGCAGAAGCATTACGAGCTGCTCAAGAAAAGAAAGAACGATTGGTTGAAGAAGTTCGTCGGAAGTTAGGTTTTGCCGTAGATCCGAAAGATTCTAAATTCCAGGAAGCACTTGAAAAGATGGAAGCAGAAGAAAAGAAACGTAGAAAAGAATTGAAAAAACAAGAAAGAGCTGCTAAGATTTTGGCAATGTTGCTGAAACAGAGTCAAGAAGTATCAACGAATATAGAGCAGAAAACAGTAGACGATAAAAAGGAAGTAGAATCGACGGATATCAAACAGAAAGCAGAAGAAGTTAAAGATATATCTTCAGATAAACCTGAATCTAAATAATCTAATTTTTTGTAAGATTTTTTAATTGTATGAGAATTAAATTTATCAACTATTACCATTTTACTAAGAATATAAAAAAATTAACATACTAGTGTTTAATAAATTAAAAATAAAGGTAATATGCAAATTTTTTATTTTTATTTCACACTAATACAAAAAAAATTCACACATTTCATAAAACTAAATCGCAAAAAAATAAAGTGAATATATATTTAAGCATTTGATTGCATATATTTATAAAGACAGCAATAATATTAATATATTAATATTTTCCTATGAAATTATAATTATATTATATTTATTTTTAAAGAGAGTGAATATTCTAAATATAATAATAAGTAAGAATTATTATTCAAAGATATTTTGGGAATAGATTAAACCGATTGTAATCAACTGTTAATTGCATCCGTTATCGATTCGTCAATATCTACATCTTCATTTATGTCATTAGAAATTAAACATTGATTCTTCGAAGTGTTAATATCCTTATTCACAATGTGAACATTTTGAAGTTTCGTTCCATCAATAAATATCACGTGAATTCGATTTTTCTCTGTTTGTCAGGCTGATTGAAGTTGAGATGGTGATGCTAGTTCGTAAAATTGAAAACTTAATTCTTCACCAAATAAGTGGTCTGGAGTAATTATTTCGGGTTCCACTACATTGAGACCTAATGTTGAGGAATTTATGTCTGTCACCAGATAATTTTCTCCTATCAGACCACACTCTTCTGCGACTATCTCTTTGGAAACTGGATTTAGAAAATCTGAAATGTAGTTAAAAAAAAATTCATTAGTTATCCCAATGATGTAGTAAGTAATTTTTAAGTCAATGCATTTAGTTTTTATTTTTTATAAACAATAATTTACCAGTTTCTTTATTTGTAGTAATAGTTATTTTCTGTTGCACATTGTGCTCATTAGCTTCACGATCATTTTGCTGTTGAACTGTCATAATTGGCATCAAATATTGTACCTCTACTTCTTTTTTTACTCCGTTTAAAATTTGCTCTGCTGAATGCTCGAGAGTTACCGATGATGTAAGCTCATTATCATCATTCATTTGACTTATGCTTGCTGTTGCAGCAGCTACTTCATCAATCACTGGAGTGTTTCTTAAAAAAAAAAATTGTTGTAAGTAATTAATCAATTTTAAGTCAGCATGAATTTGTCTTAAATAATCAACTGATTATTACTTAATATTTTTTCTAGGGTAATTATTCTCTGAGAAAGTTTTTATTATTTGACGTTGTCCAGAAATTCCTGAGTTGATATTTAATAATTGTCGTGGTCGTGAGTCATTCCTATTAGCAATTGCCCACAAGTGTCCAGCTCCATGAGGTGCTTTAGATCCTTTTCGAAAGTGAGGGTTAATGGATAAATTGTGTCTTACAGAATTCTTCCAACGATCATCATTGCTTTTGTAATAAGGAAAGTGTTCCCTATGAGAAACGTTAGAACAATATTGATTAGTATAATTTATAGAAAGGAAATAAGTGAACATATTGATTAAAATTTTGAAAAATGTATATTTTAAAAAACTGAATTTTCCTACGTTAAATTAGAGCTGAAGTTCTATAAAAAATTTTCCAAAAATATTGAAAGAAAATTTGCAATTTAAAATTTAAATTTAGTTTTATATGTAATTTTTTAAATTAATTTCAATTTTTATGTAATATTTATTTTATTTTTTATAAATGAAACTACTATTAATCATTTATCATTGTAATAAAAATTTTGGTAAAAATTTACTTTAGTTTCTACAAAAGAATAATAAAGTTTACAGTTGTCATTCTCGTAAAATATATAAATACGGTTGAACATGCATAGAGCATAGCGCGTCAAAATGGTATGAAGCGAGTAAAACAAGTAAGGAAAGACAAGGGTAGAAAGTGGTACTACATGGTACCACCACCCATTGAGGGCAATGGTACCAGATAGTACCATTCTGGTACCTTGCACCCTGCGTTGTAACTATCAAAAATCGACTCGAACTCAATCGACCGATCATGAATTTTTATTCTGAGTAATTTTGTAGGGAAAAAGTGACATTGAAATATTGGTAAGATATCTGATAAAACATAACACTTACGATATCCACTGATAAATTGCTGAAACTGTAAGTTCTCCTCGTTCTTGCAAAGCATGTTCTATTAATTCCGTATAGGTGAATGGAGGTTTTTTTAGACCGTTGCAGTTTGATGAGAATCTAATATTATTTGCATATCCTTCAACTGATTGTTTATCTCGTTGGTTTATAGTTGATTCACTATTATTTAGGTCTGTAGTGTCATTACCTCTGACGCTGTTGAGGTATAAATTTGAATTGTCTGAAGAAGCATAAGATCTGTTACGATTTTTGAAACCTTTAATTAATAAAAAAAAACATGATTAATAATTATTATTACATTTTTAATTATATATTATCATGAATAATAAAATAAAAATTTATAAAGTATTATTAAAAACATATTAATAAGCAAAAATAATCACATGGCACACTGATTTTTTCTTCAGGAGCTTCAATTAATGAATCGAGTTTGAAATCCAAAAGCCACGAAAGATTTCCATCTTCTTGGTCATCCACTTGGCTGCTGTTGTTGATATTATTGTTGTTATTGTTATCGTTATGATTATTGTTTATTGTTGTCATAACAGTAGGTGGCGAAACATTTTGATTATCAACAATATTTTGATCATTTTCAGCTTCTTCTGTTGGATCCCAGTAAGATAAAATAGCGTTATAATTATTTTCAATATTTTCAACATTTCGTACTATCAGTGAATTTTGTATGTCTGATTCGTGACTGTCAGTAGAAGGTAAATCAAGTGGTAAATCATTGTGTTCAATATTTGATACGTCCCAGGTACCATCAACCACGAGAACTTCTAATCTAGCAACTGAGCCAGGATTGTTTGATTCCTGAATAGAAGCAACTAATGGAAATTGTGATGTATGAACTATTTGTGCCATAGCAACTTCCAAGGAATCTCGTTCCATAGTGTGATGTTTCTTTGGACTTTGACAAATTTCTTCACAAAAATTGTCAATGTCTAAATCATCAAAAACTCTTCTTTTCGCTCTTACAGCAATTTCATTATCTTGACGATTTGGCATATTATTTGTACTTGATGATGGTCCGATCATTATTAATATTCACTTTTTGATTTTAAAATAATATAATAACCAAAATCAAGAATAATTATTCAACCGATTACACATATGTGGATAATTCAAATGTTATTTTAATCGCATAAGATTGACAGATTTATAAGCACTTAGAAGAATAAAATATCATATCATTATTGATTTAAATTATTTTTTTACAATAACTTACACTAGTTAGAATAATTTAAATATTTTTATTAATAAGTTATGTTAAAAAATAGATGAGAAATGGATTAATAATTTATGTTAATAGATCAACGAATTCGCCGTGCGATCAACTTCGTACTGTAGTACCATCGTTTGTTTCGTATTTCGACTATTCCGCGGTGCTCAATTTTGCAGGCAAATTGGAATAGTGGGGGAAACTAATACTTACTCAAAGTTTCCCTCTATAATATAAAATTTATTTGAATGGGTATTCGAATCATGTATGTATTATTTTTGAAGCTTTGAATTAATATGTAATTCAAATCCTGCTTTATTTTAGAGATAACCAAATTTTTTAAATTAATTGTATTGTATGTTATAAGTGATCCTATATGTATTATTAAAAAGTTTATTCATTTATTAATATTAAAAAATCATTTAATAGTTTATTATAATAACGAAAAAAAATGTTACTTATATATAATATATTTTTCTTGGTGAAGGTCATCGGATACTTTCAATCTATGTATAATACTAATAATTTCAACCTGTGTATAATATTAATAATTTTTTAATATTTTAAAACAAAAACTTTAATAATTTATGTGAAAAAGAAGTAATTTAATAAGTTCATTCATCAGTTTCGATATTTAATTTTTTCAAAAATTCAAATAGAGCGAATTTTCAGAAATCTCTTACAGCGCCACCAAGCATGGAATGTTCAAAAAAAAAAATTATAAAAAGTTTAATCAGCGCCACCTACGAAGCAAAGTTTCAATAAGTTGGAGTAAAGAGTCGCGTTTAAGCCGTCTAATGACTAAATTTGATACATGGTTCGATATCAGGTTAGACGAGTAACAACGAAGAGGATTTACGCGAGAGTGTAGCCACTGTTAGTCCTATCAGCTTTTTCTGAACTTCACCAAAAGCTTAATATTACGAGAGGTGATAGCAAGAGGTGTCTTGCGTCGCCATCGGCCATTGTCTTGGACATGGAAGCCTCTCAAAATGGCAAAATTAGTGCAGATGTTTCTGTTTCTAAATAAATCAAAGTATCGTCGAAAAAATCGACTTGGTCATGATAGAGTGGTGTTTGATTTTCCGTGTATGTTATTATGGACAGCAGTACTTTGGTCTCTAGTGTTATGGAGTACAACAATAGCATCATCGTCTACAGAAGCTACATGCGACGTGAACAATTGTGTCAATGGTAATTGTGTCAACGGTAGCTGTATCTGTCGCGATGGATGGCAAGGATCTGCATGTCAATATTGCAGTGGGAAAGTTAGGTATGATGAATTTATAATTATCATTCGATTGAGGTTATACAGTCGGTTTTATGTCAAATTTAAGCTAATCAAATTTCTTTACATTGAAAAAATCGATTGAATCTCAACGAAAATTGAATTAATCAATATGATTACATTCAATTTGTTTGTAATCCTTTTAATTCACCCCTTCCTAGCATTTTATTTCATTTTGTAAGTTCTGTAATTCATTGAGAATCCAAATGACTGCTAAACAATCAAACTGAATTGTATGAAAGTCTACGATATCTATTTTTCTTTTGTTTACAACAATTGCTAATGATTTTATCTCAATTTATTCAAATTTCATTTCATCTTTAGATATTGTGAACAAAAAACGTACGTAAACGTTTTGATTTCACAAGTAACGAAATATTAAATTTCTTCATAAAACTAACTGCTTTTTACTATTCATTGATTTTAGATTAACAGAGCCATCAGGAAGCATTCACGATGGAGCAGAAAATTATACAACAGATGTAAAGTGTTCATGGTTGATAGAGAGTAGTCCAAATACTTCGATTCGTATGCACATAGAAGAATTTGCCACAGAATGTGGCTGGGATCATTTGTATATATATGATGGAGATAGTGTTGAAGCACCACTCCTTGGTGTTTTCACCGGATTGATGCACAAGGATGGTTACCACATCCGACGAGTTCCGGAAGTCATCGCACGTTCTGGCAGTGTCTTCCTTCATTTCTATTCCGACGTCGCATATAATATGAGTGGCTTTAACATCACTTATAAAACTAATGCGTGTCCTAGCAGGTAAATTTATATGTAGCATTAAAACTAATTATCCTAATGATTAACTGCTAAGTGGAACACCATTTTCTTTAGTAATAAAAAAATATTATAATTGAAAGTTTAATGAAGCTTTAGAATATTATTAGTCTACTTAACTCAGCTAAAATGAATGTTATCAATAAAAATACGTTAGACATGCGGTTACGCTTAATAATCAGAAAATAACGTTATTCATGTTTTTTTCATTCAAGTCTAGTTTTACATAGGTGTAATGGTAGTAAAGAAAAAATAAAAATTCTCCATATATAATTACACAAATTAGAAAAAAGCTAAAGATGAAGAAACATTCTCATACCCAATGAGTAAATATTAATGTGTAGGATTTGATTGAAAGAAAATGAATCTATTTTATGTTAATTCATTAGCTATAAATTTACTATAAAATTTATATTATAAAACTTCATTAATATATCTGGTTTATTTTTATTATGTAAGGTTGACGTTGATTAATTATACAATGCTAAGCTTACGATAAAATATTGAACTATTTTTTATTATCAATCAAAGGTATTCACACATCGAATGTTCCGGAAATGGTGTATGCATCGAAGGAGTATGCACGTGCGATGCAACGTGGACTGGTGAAGCTTGTGATGCATCAGTATGCCCCAACAATTGTACCTATCATCATAATCAAGGTGAATGCAATCGTGAGAAGCACCACTGCGATTGTGCACCCGGATTTAAAGGTATTATTACTGTTATCATTATTATTATTTTTGAAATCATTATATTTATTATTATTATATTATTAATATTATTATTATTGTTGAATTAAAAGATAATTAATGTAATGCATGTTGTACTGAAGAATTAATTATTGTAATGGTTTATTTAGGTGCCGACTGTAGTCAAAGAATTGAACGTGGTTACTGGGAAACGATAACTTATAATGATTTTTCACCGATTGGCTCATCAAGTCATTGTGCAATTGTATGGCGAGATTCTCTTTACATTGTAGGTGGTGAAAGTTTTCACAAATCTAAAATGATTTATATCTATGATTTTAATGGGAATGTATGGGAAACTCCGCATATTGAAGGAATTCGTCCATTACCACGATATGCACACTCATGTGTGTTATTTGGAGACAAGATCTACATGTACGGAGGCGTAATTGACAACTCAACAGTCACTAATGAACTTTGGGCCTTTGACATTTCAGCTAAAATATGGGAAAATGTAACAGTACGACATAATTGTAATAATAAAACAATGTGTGGGCCATTGAAAGTTGCTGGTCATTCTGCTACATTGGTCCACAGTCAGGATAAAGGTGAAAAAATGGTCGTTATTTTTGGCCATTCACCTCAATATGGATATTTAAATTCTGTTCAAGAGTATTATTTTGGAACACGAGAATGGAAAATAGTTGAAACGATTGGATTTCCAGTGAAAGGTGGTTATGGGCATAGTGCTGCTCTTGATTCCTTGACAAATTTAATTTACGTTTATGGCGGTTGTGTATCTGAATCTCAAAGTGCCCAAAGTTTAACAAATCGAATTTATTCATATCATCCAAATTTGCGTGTGTGGAGACTTTTAACTGCAGCACCGTCAGCACGATTTTTCCATACTGGAGTTTTTATTTCGGGTGGATTAATGTTAGTCTTCGGAGGTAACACGCACAATGACACAGTTCACTCTCACGGTGCAAGGTGTTATTCTTTTGATACAATTGCCTATGACATAACTTGTGACTCTTGGCATCAATTTCCAATGCCACGTGAATTATCAGATTTGCCACGATACGGCCATAGTGCCACCGTATTTGATAATTCAATGTATATTTATGGTGGATTCGATGGACAAATGCTCTCTGATATGTTGAAATATACGCCAGGAAATTGTGGTCATCTGACAACCCAAAATCCATGTCTCATTTCCAGAACAGGAACTAAATGTATTTGGGATAAACGGGAAAACACTTGCTTACAAATTACTCAAATATCCAATAATGTCCTACAGACTGATAATATACATGACGGAAGATATATGCAGTGCATTGATGATACTCAACCAAGAGGGATGACTTCGCATAAAGAATTATGTAAATTACTTACTGACTGTGCTGCATGTGTACAGACTTCTTATAACTGTGTCTGGTGCGGAAAGAGCTGTGCTTATGAAATGTGCCGACGTACTGCAAATGCACCACCAATAGCAGGTATAACAGAATTAGAGCAATGTGATTTACACTCAGGCATTGAATGTTTTCAACTTCACACATGTCAAGCATGCTCCGCTAATCCTTATTGCACATGGTCTTGGACTAACGGTCCAGATCACTGCAAGCCTATCACTAAAGTACGTGACATTACAATAATGAATGGTACGATTCAGGCTCAAGCTCAGAGATTATCACTGGACACTTGTAGAAGTCCATGTGTTGAATATACAGCTTGTAGAAATTGCACTGAGTCGGAGTGCATTTGGTGTCAAAATGAGAGGAAATGCGTTGATAAAAATGCATATCCAGTTAGTTTTCCTTATGGCCAATGCAGGGAATGGACAACGAGTGAATCAAGATGCCGAGCTACAGAAACGGGAAGAGAATGGTGTAGTTTTTATTCATCATGTTTGAGCTGTCGATCAGATCCTGGTTGTGGATGGTGTGATGACGGATCTAAAACAGGAAAAGGGAAATGTATGCCAGGTGGTGCAAAAGGTCCCAAACAAAACATTGATGACACTTGTCCGTATGAACGTTGGTTTTTTACCAAATGCCCTAATTGCCAATGTAATGGTCACAGCACATGCTATCCTAATACGACTGACTGTATTAAACCCTGCGGAAATTTAACCCGAGGAGCACACTGTGATAAATGTATGCCTGGATATTATGGAAGTCCACTTAACGGAGCTACTTGTCAGCCTTGTTCATGCAATGATCAGGGTACTGAGTGTGTTAGTGATACTGGTAAATGTTTTTGTACTACCAAAGGAATAATTGGAGATCATTGTGAGCGGTGTGATGTCTCTAGTCTTTACCATGGGGATCCTACTAAAGGATCGTGTTTCTGTGAGTTATTTAAATAATTTTTATTAACTTATTTAACTAAATTAATTATTAATTTTAATTGTTTTTTTTTTACAGATGATCTAGTAATAGACTATCAATTCACATTTAATTTAAGTAAAAAAGAAGATCGTCATTATAGAGCCATTAACTTTAAAAATTCTCCCTCGAAGCCAGACGTTGATGCTGAATTTTCCATAACATGTTCAGTTCTTGCGAAAATGAACATTACCATTAAAAAGACCAACAGCCCTGAGAAACCATATCTCCTTGGTGCCAACTGTACAACTTACAAACAGCGTTTTAGTAAAGCTGAATACAGTTTTGGGAGTGAAGATAATAACACTCTAACAACTTTTTATGTTTATGTTTATGATTTTCAACCACCGTTATGGATACAAATATCATTTTCACAATATTCTAAATTAAACCTGCAACAATTTTTCATCACATTTTCTACGTAAGTACTAGTTTTAATATTCTTTGAAACTATCACTTGTCTAAATCGTTCATATTTGCTTCTTTTATATTTTTTTTTTGGATATCCTTTCATTCCAAGTAGTTGTGCATGTTTAGTTAAATCTTCTCTATTAGTTTTGATCGCGTTAAATCTGAGGCAGTACTAACTTGTAAACTAGAGATTACATGACACCGCACAGGTGCTTCCTTGCTTTATTATTGGTGGCTGCTGTACTCTGGAAAATCAAACAAAAATACGATATGTATCGAAGAAGACAAAGACTTTTTGTTGAGATGCAACAGATGGCCAGTCGTGCTTTCAGCCAAGTTCTTGTGGAAATCGAGAGGCGAGATTTATCAGCAGAAAATGAACGGAATGAATTGGACACTAATAGTAGCAGTCAAAAAAAGAAAAAGGTGAATAGTTCATTACTAATTAAATAAGAATTAATTTCAAACATAAATTAATTAATCTCATAAAGTTTTTTCTTAAAAGGACAAAGCGTAATGATATATTTAAATTCTAGTTTTTTGTAAATATTTAATATTTTATCAATTTCACTGTTTATCTATTTTAAATAACTCAGAAATTTTCATTTTATTTTTTTAAATATTTTTAGAAATTTTTATATGACTCTTTCTGTTGTGAATTTTATTTTATATAAAAGTAGCGAAAAAAGCATTTGTAATTAATGAAGTTAATTATTTTAACAGGATGCACCCAGCCCTATTGCTTTAGAGCCTTGCAGTGGTAACAGAGCTGCAGTTTTATCTTTACTAGTCAGACTACCAACTGGTGGTGAAAGTTATACACCGGCAGGCCAAAGTGCCGGATTAGCTGTAGCATCAGCTCTAGTCACATTGGGTAGCCCAAGAAGACCTTCACAAGAATTGTCTACAAAAGAACCCAAAAAAACGCGAAAATCTGCCAATCAGCATCCAGACTCTACTTGCATTTAACGAATAATTTCACAGGTAATCATCAAATTACTTTATAATATTAAAAAATTTAGAAGTTCACAGGAAATTATTTTTTATTCGAGACTAATTGTCTCTGGGCTGATTTTTTCCTCAAACATACTCGACATTTTTTATACTTTTATTTTGACTTTGTTAATTTATGCATAATTTCATTTGAACCTACATTAACTATGTAGAATTAAGAGCTTCCGAGCTATTATGATAGGAGTACACCATCTCATTTCATTATTATTTTTTTTATTCTTATTAATTATTGATAATGAAAATCAATAATATTTGTTTTTTATTAAATTTTATTCTTCGACTGCCTTATTAAGTCTTCGATCGTGAAAGTTATACATTAGATAGCCAGATACTGTATCTTTTTTTACTGTAAAAAATTTTAATTGTGAACATTTGAAATTAATTTGTTCATAAAATTTAAATTTTTTTATATCTATTGATAATTGTAATGCTTACAAATTGATATATAACATAAGGATGGTATGTTAAATTTGACTATGCTGATCTGAACGGCTTGCCGTAAAAATTAATTTAATACCATATGTATATCAATAAAAAACTTGTAAATAGGTATTTTAAATCAGTGTTAAAATTAACTATTTATACTGAATTGTTAATTTGATACAAATCGAATGTGAAAAATGACAAGAATGAAGAGAATGTACAGTAGTAAATTTAATTGTTAGTAGTTAGTTGAAATAACAATAATATTCCTTTTTAGATAACAAATTTTTTTTCATGAAATATGTAGGAAATTCATAATTTAAATGAAATTAATCTGTATGTAAGTGAATGAGAAATTTATCAAAATCGTATTGAATAATTTTGTAATTCGATAAATTTTTTCATTTTACTAAAATGATCATTGTACATTAGTTAATGATTAATCATTAAAAAATATTATTTTATAGTTTAAATTGTGCAAATTGTAATTATTGCAATATTAGCGATTATACTTTCACTTAATTACTTTTTTATGTATATTATATATTATACAGTACGAGTATACTATAATTTGGCGTTAATATTTATACACATATATAACGTTAATGGAAAAATTATTTTAAAAATGTGTAATATTTATAAAAATTCTAAGTAGGATTAAGTACATGCATTTTTTTCGAACATTTACAACTTGTACTTTTTATAACGCGCTCGGCATTCATTAAAATCTCACGTTATACATAAATACAAAATATATTGAATATAAATTATATATATACATATACCAACGATGATGAGTTAAAACAAAAAACGTGTTAATTTTGTAGATACATATACACATATATTCTCGACAATGATTTAATTTTCGTTCGATTTTTCTATAATGTCGTGAGTATATTTGATTAATAAATAAATTAGAAAATATTTAAATGATACTTATAGGTATAAGTAATATTAAATTTAAGTATACATAGTAATTAAATTAAGAGAGCAATTTTTCATAATTATTTATTGTTAAAAAATATTCATAAAATATTGAATAACGTCCAACATAAAAAATTATAAAATTGTTTAGCCAGTAAAGAAATTTTTTTAAATCAAACAATTATGAAACTTAAAAAAAGAATTAATGTTTTAAATCATTTTTCGAGTAATTGATTGTTAATTAAGTTGTATTATTTTTTTACTGTATTTACTTTTAATGATAATATTTAAAAAACTACTTTATTGTGAAATTATTAATTATTAGTATTAATTGATTTCAATTCATGACATATCCATTAAATTAACCGAATTTCTAGTTAGAAAAACTACTTTCAACAAAGTTATTAATAAAATAATACATATATTTTTAATTTCATTGTATTTGGTTTGATCTAGTCCATAAAATGATGAATGAAGAAATGAATGTAATAGGTGTAAATGTATATATAAGCTAATTGACATTCGATAATTGATTGATTGATTCACTGGAATACATTGCGGGAAAATTGGCTACTTACTCTATGAATAATATAGAATAAAATCAACAAACACTCTCAGATATACTATTTAATCCCTAATGTTTGTGATTTTAAATTCATCTGTCTTTAAAATTTAAAGTAATTTAATATATACAGAATGTGTGTATATTTATAAAAATAATTCATCAAAAAAAATTGTAAAAAAAATAGCTCAAATGTTTCTAAGACTGGCGGATGGTCGTATTTTAAGTTTTAAATACCATAGTAACGTTAATCGTAGATAAAAATATTTATTTAAGACCCTATTTTTGTCCGAATTGAATAAATAACACAATAAGTGCTTCTATATAAATGAGAATAATTTATTAATTATTTTCGTAAAATAATATAAAATTTATTAATTATTTAAATAATTAAAAGATCGTTTGGAGTAGATAAAGGTATTTATTGGAGTTACTCAAGTGTATTATTAAGTAAGTGGCGCCACCGCTCAGTTTAGTTTACACATAAACGGCGATTACTTTTGACGTTCTTCTGGCATTCTCAGTAGTTGTTGGCGTAACGGGTGGAGCGCAAGTCAGTTATTGTGTTATGATTGACCGTTTGAACAACATATGCCTCAACATTATCGTATTCACGCGCACTTTTATAAGTGATTTTGTGCCTTTAGAAACAAAAAGTACACAAAAAAATCCATAAAAACTAATTAAATAAGTGTTTTTGTGCATAATTATACAAACTATTTGCCTTTGTACAACGAAAGAAGTTATTTACTTCAATCTTTGTCTCCTGTTAGGAAAAAAAGTGAGGTTATGTAATTGTTTGTAACAAAACATTGGTAAAGTTGTTTTCGAATCATTTCTAGAATATGTTAATACTCTAAATGAATTGTCAAGAATAACTTGGTGGTGAAATTAGTAAAAAAAACTATTTATTTATATTGAAACAACAATCATAGAAAATAAATTGACACATTTTTAAAAGTGAAATGTAACATGATTGGATGTAATGACAATTCAAAAATATTTCAAAAGAGATTAGTGAAAGATCATCGAAAGCGACACACAAACATTAAAATATTTAGTAAGGCTGACGGATAGAGATAGAGAATATAAAATGGAGTTCTAAACGTACTCTTTTCTCTGTCTTAAGAGAATCCCGTTTTGCTTCCTATCCCTTCCATATTCCTAGCTCTGTTTCACCGGTGTGCCGTTTCTTCAGCTCCCCCCTTCGCTCCACATTTTTTCATGACGCGCGCGTCAACACGCTGTTCTCGTGTACAACTACCTGTTGTTTCATACTTCAAATATTTTATTTAAATATTTATTATACCAAAATTAATTTAACTGTGTCAATTAAATTATTAAATTTATTAAAAAATTAATTTATCAGCATTAATAGACAGTATATACGTTAAATATTTCATAACATTTATTACTAATTAACTAATTAATAAGTGAAAATTAAATTATGGTTTTATGTTATTTCAATCACACCGAAGATCAGAAAAACAAATAAGGAATAATTGATATTAAAAAATGTTGACGAAAAAAGTGTATAGTGAAAATGTAATACCTCGGCGTAAAAGTGTTGTTGGTGAATGAATGTTTGCAGATGTCAGCTGACAGGAAATCGATCGTGAAGGTGTGTGAAAGGATGCTGGAGAAAAAAATAACTGAAGAAGAGGAAGACGAAGACGAAGAAGAAAAAGGAGAACAAGGTGGTGGACAAGAAGCGGAAGTTGAAGTAGACCCAGAGGAAGTAGAAGATAAGAAAGCAGATATTAGGCAACATCTTGCTTCAAAAGTGTGCTCCTATTGAACTGGCTTACCCTGCGGTGGATTTAGGGGGCTGTATGGAGGCCGGGGGGCTCCTGCCCCATCAGCCTTCGCAAGGCCCCCCCGGCACGGGCAGCGGCCCTGGTAACGTTACCGTTTGTGCGGGTGCTGCACAGCAAGTGAATCGTCGTGGAACCAATCAATCACCGGTCCATCCAGGATTGGACCAACTTAACGTAACAGGTCAATTAGGCTTAACAAGTCAACAGCAGTTGCAGTTACACCAACAAATGGGTCAGGCCCCTGGTATGGGTGAGGTACTCACCCCGAAGAAACAAGCGGTCGTTGACCGGCTTAGAAGAAGGCTTGAAAACTATCGAAGACATCAAACTGACTGTGTTCCGCGATACGACCAAAGTTTTAATGGAATATGTGAACAAAATATTCAAGATACCCTTGTTCTTAAGCAACGTTTCCTTGAAAGTAAAGCTAAACGACAAGCTAAAAAGACCGACAAGAAGCCCAATGAAACTGTTGGTCTTTCCGGTGTTCATGTGGTAAGTTTTCAGTTTTACTTTATTTTTTATTGAAAGTATATATTAGAAATCATTTATTTTTATGATAATATTTATCTCTCAAAATTATTAAGATGGTTATTATTATTATGGCCCGCTCTAGGATGTTAGCTTTAGACAAATAGATAATTTCCTGAAAAAGTTTTTACTCCGATGATCCATTTTTTATGTAAGGGAATTCTTTCCAATGTTTCTGTCATTATTATCGCACAAAGCATTTTAACAGAGGTTCTTTTTATATTACTATATATTAGCTGGCCTCCTACGTATCGTTGTTATCTGGTCAAAATTACTTAAGTATAAAAGGAATTTATCTAGATTAATATTTCGATATACATACTTAATATTATTTATTATTTACATTCAATATTACGTTATAAATATTCGGATTTAAAATTGGTTAAAAATTAATCATAAAAGCTCAAATATAATTGGTAAGATGGTGAGCATGATCACTAAAATCGAGCAGCATGTTGACGAGTTTAAGTTTACCTTGAGTGACTACAAGTATATTGTGTAATGTGGTGTATAGATATAGAATGACTGGGCGAGAAGAAGATAAATGTTTTATAAACGTTTAAAATTTTTATCTTATGACGTTATCAATTATTTTAATGATTTCACGTCATTGCTACTTATTAGCTAATTTTTTTTTATCAATGCTTAATGTTGATTTTTCTCATTGTTTTTATTTTTTCAATGACAAATATTGAATTCAAATAATTAATTAAATCAACGGGACACAATCTATTAACCTTCAGTTAAATAATGGTGATTGAGTTTTATTTAATTTTAGAAAAATGACAATCAGTTCAATTGTTCAGATCTAGAAAAGTGATTCAATTGATTTTATCAATGTTTTTTATAAAATTTTTCAAGTTATTGAATATTTTACAATAATTAATTAAATTCAATAATATCATATCTATTAGTAATAATTATCTACAAATTATATGAGAATATCATAAATCAAAATAAACACGAAAGTTTTAAATAGAATTTTTTATATAGAATCTGCAGATAATGCTTCATTAAAACTATTTACTTTGTTGATAAAAACTCTGCTTTCACGTTCTCTTATTGAATTCATTTACATGACTATTCTTCATTCTTTATAGTCTACACTAGTATTATATAGTGTACAGATGCAGAGGTTCAAGTCACCGTCGAGGGTCGTCGAATTCCGATTGAATGACGCATCCTATGGCACTCGACGGGCACCTATATATATAATATATATGTAAAAAGTATATAGATATTTATATATGTAAAGGAAATACAAATTTTTTTGATTTAATTAGGAATATTTTAATTAATGATTATATGAATATTAATTCGTTAAATATGATAGTACATCTAGGGTGATGAGTGTTATCGTAGATCATAATCTCAAATATAGAGATTATTCGTACGCTAAGTAATACACCTTATACAAATCTGTACAAATATTGATGTAAAATACACATGATATTGTGGAGA